CTTCTCCCCCTTTCTCCTTCCCTTCCTTCTCCAGTGGCTATTTCAGCAGAGCGGGGATGCTGGTGCTGCTCCTGCTGCCATCGTCATGTGACCTGAATATTAAACATCTCCGCAAAATCTCCCCCCGCGCACCCTCCCCCGGCTCCATCCCAGGCCCCGGCTCCATCCCAGGCCCCCCCAGCCTCCCTGACTTGCGGGGGGGTGCATGGCCTCGGGATCGGAGGGGCCGCTGCCGATGGGGCCCCCATGTCCTGGAGGGGCCCTCATTGCACACCCACACCCCACAGGCATTTTCCTGCCCTTTTCCCTCCCAATTCCCCAGCCTTTTCAGCATCTCTGCTTGTTTAGGGAGGGGCATATTTAACCCTTCACAGCTTAGTTCCGGCGGGGCTAAGAAACGGTGCTCTTTGCCCCTAGGTATTTCGTAGGATCAGGGGATTGCAAAATCTCTTGCTTTCCCAGAGGGAGGAAATTGAGAATGTGTTGGTTCATCAAAAGAGATTTGCCCTTCAGCTTGGCTGTGAAGGTGTGAGAAACCTTTTCTCCTCCAGCACCATGATTCCTGGCTGTCAGCCCAAGGCGCAGCGGCAGAGGCAGCGCTGTCCCCTCTGCGTGCATGTGTGTACAAACATGTGTATGCCTGCGTCTGGTGAGCACGGACAGGTCCTGCCACCTGGACCATGTTGGGGTACACAGGTCATATCCCTGTGTGCTCTGGCAGGCACCTCCATGTGCCCTGTGGATGTGTCTGTGCCTAGAGAGCTGTGTGGATGTCTCTGGCTGCTTGCATCTTTGGATGGGGATGCCTTTTCCCTGCTTTGCATTTCCTTCTCCTACATCTGTGAGCCCTGGCTCCGGCATGCACTGTGTCCCTGTCATGCTGTGCTGGGGCACCAACACATGGGAATGCTCTGACCCTCCAGTCAGTGGGATGACAGGAGCACCACGTGTTCCTCCACAAGACAACACCCCTGGGTGATGGCCAGGCTGTGGGATGCCTGGCAGACTTGGCAAGGGTTTGGGGTTCCTCTTTTTCAAGTGCTCTGGAACAAAAACTGCACCCACTGCAGGTTACAGGAACATTTAGAAGTAATTGTCAGCAGCTACCCCGGGCTAGGCTGAGCAGTGGACAGACTGGTTTCCGACAGGCAGGCACTCCAGCACCCAGAAAATGTCCTGACATGGCAGCCACAGTTGCCCGTCTCCCTGCTGGCTGCCAGTCTCACAAACACACGGGCTGTCCTCCCACCAGCTATTGCCCACCCATGATTCTGGTGTGGGTCAAGAGGAAATCACTCTAAGGGAAGGAAGCCCCCATCCTCCCTCTCATCACCCTACCTCTTCTGAAGGGTCCTGCCCCATGCTGGGCTCCACGCCATCGCCGAGGGACCCCTTGGTGCCTCCCTCCCACCCTCCCTCTGCCAGCCCAGCCCAACCCGTCAGGGAGACCCACCGTAGCGTGGTGGGGCACAGGACAGCCCCATCTTCGCCACCGAGGTGGCCTCGGCCCCGTCAGAGCTGCCGTGCCGCTGGGGCCCCTCGGCCGCCACGGGCCGGGGCCGCGGGAGGATTGGGGTGACGGGGGCCGGGCCCCGCAGCCGCTGCCAGGGCAGCGGCCCGGCGGCCCCGGGGGCACGGCGCAGGGTGACCGAGAGGCAGCTCCGCTTCGGGCGGGCAGCGGCGGGGCCCGGCGTGCGGCTGGGGCTCCCTGCGGCGGACAGGCAGCTGCGGTGAAGGCCCATCTCCTCCTCCATGGCGGTCGGCTGTGGCTGGAAGCAGAGGTGCAGGGCAGGGGCCGGGGTCCCAGGCGGTCCCTGCTGTCAGGGTGTTTCGGGGTGCAGAGCTCCTGGGGCTGCCGTCATGCACATGCTTGAGCCCCCACCTCCAGCCCCGTCCGGCCAGCCCGCCTCCAGCTGGGACAATGGGGCTCTTGTGGCCTGCATGGCTGGCTCCCACGCTGGGTGCCATGACCACTCCTGCCCTTGTCCTGCACCTTCCTGACCTCTGCCACCAGCAGCCCCACAACATGACCCCGTGCCCTGTTCCTATGGCAGGAGGTGGAGGAGTGATGCAGACCTGCCAGGTCAGGCCTGTGCTGCCTGCTTCCAAGGACACTGGGTGTGATTAAAAAAAAATAAATAAATATTTGAATTTTTGAAATGCCTTCCCTTCCTCTCTTAGTTTTGTCCCCCCTCAAATGGCATATTTCAGTGCAACAATTTATATTCCACTGCACAAGTTCAGTGATCACTTGTTGGATGTTCTTCCAAATTGACACTTCATTCCCTTATGCTGATTTTCTTTTGCTTCTTCATTATTATCATTATTATGATTGTTTCTTAATTTTGCCAGCTTTGTGGCATTTTCAGGGTCAAGAGAAATTCAGCTTGCCACTTTACACCTTCCTCACTGTAAGAAACTTTGAAGGGCAACATAATAAACAAGGAGGAAAGAAGAAAGGTGTTTTGGTGGCATGGGATGAGAATATGAATGGTTTGATGAGCAAGTGAGAGCAAACAAAAGGAGAGACAGGCACCCACAGTGTGGCAGGGACAAAGATTGCATTATTTCAGGTGACCAGGGCTGAGGGAAGTGGAAGAGGAATCACCATCCAATGATCCACATCATTACTGGGAATACTGGTGGAAGGCAGAGCTCAGGACAGTGCAAGTTCTCTGCTTCCTTAAGGGCAAAGAGACAGAAAACATGAAAAAAACCAACCTGATACTTGTAGTATTTCCAGCAATAATGACCTTCTCTGATTCTTTATGCAGTTTAATTCAGTATCTGTAACTATTTCATTCTCCCCTGAGGTCTTTCTGGCAGCACTCATCCCACACAGGAGAAACCATCTCAGTTTTCAGGCAGCATTTGCCTTTAACTATTCCCAGACAGCCTGGCAGTGTAGCTGGCACAGGAGCCAGGTGGATGGAGACCTACCCTCTTGTAAAGGAAACCTCACTGCAGACTGCTCCTTGCTGCCTGCCCAGTGCTAAAGGGAGGCAGCTCCCAGGGGAGCAACAGGAAAACAAAACTTCAACCACACGGTCTGTCACACACTTCCACTGGGGAAGCCTTTGACACTGCTGACAATAAAGTCCTTCATAGCCATGGAAAATACCTGGCTTAATACTGATTGTGTCAGGACTAACAGCACAAAAAGTAAGCCAGAGGAGATGAACAATTAGTTTCCCTCTAATCCAGCCCTCACCCAGTTGCTGTCTTCTTTTGCTCAGTTTCTGCATTGAGTCACGGGCAGAGTGGAGCTCAGCACAGGCACGGCAGCACTCAGAGGAGAGCACAGAGCAGGGGAGAGGGGACCCCTGTGAGTGCAGACTCCCCTCCCTACAGTTTAACTTCTTCCTGACTGCTCCAAGCCCCTCAGCTCCAGTGGAGAAGTTTTTATACTACCTCACAGCTCAGCTGTTTCCATTTACAGGGCAATCCCACCTATCAGGGAGTTGAGGTGAGGAAGCAGGTTTCCCAGTTGGTGTTTGAAGATACGGCTGTGATGTGCCAGAGGGCAGGGAATGTGAGCTGTGCAGGTGAGGGTGGCACACCATGCCATGCAACCCAGCCCCTGGTCGTTTCCATTTCACAGCCCCAAGTTATAAAAATGTATCTGTTTCAGACTACTCCTGCTCTTTTGAGTCTTTGCTTGCCTGGGCAAGTATAACTTTGGGCACAGCAGTAATCCTATTCACTGCATTTCACTCTTAAGTGAGACTCCCCAGTTAGGGGACTTGCATCACTGTATCTGTTACCTGGCTGAATGAAAGGACTCTTGACTTTCCTCTGTCTGAAACACCACCAGAAAGCTCCTGCCAGTGTGCCTGGTTTTGGTGTGGAAAAGAATGGTAATGCAATTGCAGTCTGGTAGATGAAATGTCCCAGGAAGACCCAGGATATCTGCAGGATGTCCTGATCCATTCCTTAGAGCTAAAAATTAACTTGGATCCCCAGAGAATTACCAACTTTCAGGCTGCACCTTGTGCTTTGAGCCTTTGCTTGCCAGGGCAAGAAAGCTTTGGGCAGAAGAGTAATCCCACTCACTGCATTCCCCTCCATAAACCACTCACAGCAGCCCAATGAACTCTCCTTCTTTCTTTGAGAATGGAGGAGAAAACTTCCTGCTCCCAGGTTCACAGGTGAGGCTGAGTGACACAAGCCAGGAGCTGTGGCAGATTTTCAGAGCTAGCCTGAGGAACCCCTGCTGCTGAAAGGAGCCATTGGGGACTAGAGCACAGAGCCATAACAATGGAAGAACACTGGAGATATGAGTTGCAAATATACTGGCTGGCACAGGATGCACAGATGTGTGCACATAGGATGGTGGCACCAGCTGACATACCTGGGATATGCAGGAGTGGGACACACAGAATCCCTCTGTGTCCAGAGCATTCATAGATAGCACCATTGCACCTACATGCATGCAAAGGGTGCCTGTTGGGGTAGGAGGAGAAGAGACAACTTTCTGCCACAGGCTCCTTGCTCTCTCAAACCTCCCTGTATACACTGGGTATTGCACTGGGCTGTCAGAGAGAGAGAGGATGGGGATATCACTCTCAGCCCCAATGTCACAGCTTCATAGAGCACTTTGGTGGCTGGTCATACCTGTGACACTGCAGAAAGTCTATAAACATGGGATTTTGTGCCAGACTCACCTTATACGGCTTGGGTCCAGAAAGCAAAGGTGGCACAATAGGCCCATTTAGCTGGCAGGCTCAATGTTCCTTGTCAGAGACATGCAGGGGAAAAAAAAGGCTGAGGGATGCTTCACAGCTTTCATTGTGAAACAGTTAAGAAAGAGAAAAGCTGTAGAGCTTTGCAGTGCAAGTGACTGAACAAGTGCAAGTAGCTTCACACACTATCCCATCTCCCTCCTTGACAGAGGAGCAGAAGGTCAGGCAAATTAGAAGCAGCTGATGTGGTAAGTCTGGTAGCATCCCTGCATGGAGGGCTGCAGAACATTCTTAGCTTGACACAGGACTTGAACCAACCTCTTTAAAAAAGACCTTTAATTTCAGTGTGGTGCATCTGGAATGGATGTAGGGATGGATGCCCTCCATCTCCCAAACAGACACAGCAGGGGTGTGCATTTTGCAAGGATAAAGGCATTCAGTCTCTGAGGCTCACTGAGCCCTTGGTCCCTCTGCACAGAGCTTCAGCAAGCTCACCATTCTACCATCAAGAGTGGGTGCTGGGAAGAGCTCAGCTGAAGCAACAGTGTGTATTGAAACCCAATTTATTTTCTCCAAAATACCCCTGTAGACAGACTGTGTTAGATTTAACCTAGGGAATAGGAGTACAAGGTTCTGCATCCTTTTGCAAAACCTGGTACCTTTCCTACTGAAGATCCTGTCAAGATGCCTGGCAGCTCAAACTCAGGTGATTAGCAAGGGATATTTCATTTGAGTGGCTCATCAGTCTTGGCCACAGGAAGGAGCCGAAGTCCTTGGCTGGCTGAAGAGCTGTGAGCACATGGGAAGCCCAGCCAAACAAATCTTGACTAAGAAGCAAAGGGGCAGAATGGTGAGTGATGAGTATGAGACCCAGACCAGCAGAGAGCAAAGTGAAGACCAGCCCCACTTTTATCAGGACAGGACTACCATCCCTAGGGAGGCTTGTGGTCTGCTGCCTACCCAGGAGAGATTCCTCTGGCTGCAAGGGGCAGCCTGTCAGACCTCAGGCACCCCAAAGGCCAGGTTGTCCCGAATCATCAGTGTCTTCCGAAGGTCTCGCTCCATGATTGGTCTCTGTGTTCGCCACTTATGAGCTTCCTGGAGTCCTGGTTCAAAGTAGTAAATGCAAGCTCCAAAGCCCACCAGGATGAGAATAGAGATCATCAGATACACAGGCACAAACCAATCCAAGAAGTGGGGCATGGCTGCCAGAGAAAAGGAGAGAAAGCTTATGCAGTGGGAACACCCAAAACACACCTCCACCAAAACAAGACATCTGCCTCATTAGCAGTGCCCAGTCCCTCCTCACAGCCCTGCTGCACCTGGCTCATACTTGGTTGCACATGAAGGCACCTCATCCACTGGGAGAGGTCAATGCTTTTTGGGTCATTGCTGGCACCTCTGCACAGATTGTCAATCCTCCTCCCTCCCCACAGAGGGGCTTGAGCTTGCTTGCCCCCAACCCTGCTGCCAGTGATTAAAGGTAGGTGGTAGGTAAATACAGCTGCTTCTCACCTCCTGCTTGAGGGAAAATCTGCTTCCCCTGACACTCCATTACCCCTTTGAATTCCTAGTCTGAGCTCGCCTGGCTCAGGACTGAGCCCTCCCTTACTGCACCTCTATTTCAGGTCCTGCTTTGCCAGGGATCAGGGTCCTGTGTTCAGCACCAGTCTGTGAGCAGACCTGAGATCCCTCCCCAACATCAGCCACTGTGCAGGGGGGGACACTCACCAGGAGCAGCCGATCTGCTTTGCCAAAAACCCCTGGCCAGCCAGGTGCACAGTGAGTCCGGAGCAGCGTTGCCCTGGGGAACACAAAACAACACCACACTGTCTGATTGCTGTTGGCCCAGCACTAAAAATGGGAGAGAAGGAAGGAGCAAACACCTCCTTGTCCAGATGTAAGGGCTGAATATTTCTGGACGGGTGAACAAATGGGGTTCCAGCCCCATAACCTGCTGGTTCCCTGGCACATTCTCTTCCCACCATTATGGCCCTGCTGATGCCATGCTTAGGGCATGCACCCTAACTTAGGATAATTTAAAACTGTAATGGCATCACATTTGATCCCATCCCTTATCTCCATCCTTTGGGAGGGAGACAGCAACCCACACTGCAACCCGCAACGGTGTCCAGCCTGTTAAGCTCTGCTGCTTGCTCTGCACGAAAATGACAGCCAAGGTGTGGATCATGCAGGGACAGAAAAGGGGATCAAAAAGCTTTGTTAAAGGCTTTGGTGGATTAAACCTGGCACCCTCACGCTCGGGAGAGCACAATGGTGCCAGACTCAGGCACAAAAAATGCCGTCCTGAAAGGGGGCTTTCCATAACCCTCACCCTTGGTGGGAATGATGAAATGCTCACTGACTTCAGTGGGGACACAATGAAGTGCACCCACATCAAACTCCTGATTTTCCAGACGGATGAAAGCTATCACGTCTGACCATCGCCCAAGTCATCCCTCTGCAATAACCATATATCCCCAAATTCCTGGCACAGGGTGGGTTAATAGGAGGCTGGGGAGAGCTCTGAGCATTTTATTCTTCTACCCTGTTCCTGGCCCATAAGGTTGATGCCTTTTCCACACCAGGGGCTGGGCTTTTTTTTTAAATACCACAGCCATCAGCTGTTTCCAATGTGCCCAGCAGCATTTATCGTCTGGATACCTCTTGTCTCAGGAGGGCCTGTAAAAGTAAGTTTTTTGTCACAGGTTAAGATCTGAAACAAGCTGCAATTCTTATTACCAGAAGCAAGAAACTGCAGAAAACACCTGATTTCCTCCCACTTATTGGCATGGATCTGATCTGGGCACTGCTGCTGCCTCTTTATGGCTGCCTGTACCTTCCTCAGGTGAGCAACTCCTGAGGAAAGCTCCCACCATAACTTGCAACAACCTCACAGAGATGTTGTGAGGAGCTGTGGGGCTTCCATTAATGCACCTTAGGGGACCGTGTAAGGAATTAGGCACGAACCCCTTCTGCAACAGTATCTGGGTCTGAACTCTGGGCCAGAAACCCCTCAGCACAGCTTTCCTACATGCTCTGCGAAAGCAGCTCCTTTGCACCCCCTTTGCCCCCCAGCTGCATCTGCAGACATCCTGGGAGTCTCAGGCTGCTGCAAACCCCTTTTTCAGAGGTGTCTGCAGCTGGTATCTGTCCCTGGCTGTCAGCTGCAATGGGCAGGATTAGGGACACTGTGAAGGTGAGTTCAGCTTGGACCTCATGGGCTGATGGGAGGAAAGCCAATAAACTCATTCCCTTCCCTGATCATCCACTTTCCAAATGTGTGAGTGAAGCTGCTATCCAAAAAAAGCACTGCAATAAAAAGCAGCCCTACACACTTCCCAATTCATCCCTCCTAGTAGAGCCAGCATTTCCTAGCTCCTTGCCAGCAACCTATTCTTCAGTCTACTTGCTATGCAGCCCTATCCTGCTGTGTCCCCGTGCTGCTCACCCGTCCCTGCCCCCTCAACGAAGGGTCCTCATCATGGCCAAGCTGAGTGCTGGATGAGGTGTCAGAGCCCCCCCTCCAGCCTCTGCAGGGCTGGCCTGGAGAAGCACCTTGCTTTTGTCAGGCAGGTGAGCAGATTTTGGCTGCAAATACTGAAAAGAGGGTGTTTCATTAAAAAATGTCAGCTTTCTGGAGCAGTTCTGCAGATATAAAATGTGCCTTAACCTTGCTGGACCAGTTGATCTTCAGCACCTCATTTTGCAATGGGACATCAACATCCCCCCAAAGACACAAGAGTCCTTGGTCTTCTATCTAAACCCATGACTTACATAAATAAGCTGTCTGACCCCTTTTAAACCCATGCTGCACCTCACTCCAGCCTCTTGCCTTCAACGACACCCGTGGATCCCCCATGCCACCTCCCACTGCCCCCGAGATGTTGTGGTTACACTTGTGACAGGAGCCCCAGGGGCCACGTTGTTAGTGGCACGGCAGAAAATGCTCCTACAGGAGAATTTGGGTACAGAACCCTCCCGTGCGCATGGCTGGGAGCACAACTCGTTTTGCAGGGTTACAAGCCGTGGGCTCACCTCGACCGCAGGAGATTCGCCCAGACCTGGGCACCCCGGTGCAGGCTGCAGCTTGGGGCACAGAGCTGCCGATCACTGGGGACCCAGACATGACCTCGCTCCCATGCACCGCATCCCCAGCAAGCACCGCTACATGCCCTGACACCTGTCACCTACCTTCTTCCACGGGTGCAGGGCGACGGGATGACACTGCTCCCTCCGGCATCTGCCGACTCCCAGCCGGAATGAGTCAGGCTCCTTTCCCGGCCAGGCAGTGCCAGGGAGAAGGGACCCCGCGCCGGGAGAGCTGGGTGAGAGCGGGAGGCGACAGGCGCGGATGGGCGGGAGGCAGGCAGGGAGGGAGGGATGGCGGGAGCAGCTGCGGCGGGCGGGGGAAGGACAGGCAGCCAGCAGCGTGGCCTCATTGCCCAACGGGACTCCGGGGGGCTTCCCCCACCGCCTCCCAGACAGTGTCAGCCCCGCTCCAGCCTCTCCGGGGAACCCTACCGCCGGCCTTCCCCCACAAACGCAAGAACGACTGGCTGCATCCCGGCGCGGGGAGGGGGAGCATTTTAGCAGCGGTCGCTATAGCAACGAGCATCCCCAGCTCCCCCGCACATGGTACCCGGGTCAGAGCCACGAGGGAGCTGGCCGCGGGATGCTCTCCCGCCTCCCGCATCATCCGCAGCCCGGCTGCAGCCCAGGAGGAGGAGAAACGCTGGGGCACACGTGTGTGATCTCGAGCTGATGGAGATGGACAGAATGTTCAGGCTCCACAGATTTACTGGTGTGTGCAGCCCGAGCACTGGGGGCTGGTGGTTTTTCATCAGTGGGTGGGAGGCAGAGAGAGAGGGAGGGGTTAGAGGCAAAAGGGGGTTAGAACTCCCTTCAGGGCTTTTATATAAAATTAAAACAATCAACACTTTGACCAAAAGAATCTTCCATCAGGGAACAGAAATACAATGCTGTCTGAAGTACTATTCTTGCTTTCAGTGAAATACCTTTTTCCTGAATCCATACCTAGTTCTGTCATTGCTGCTGATGAGAAGAGATGTTTTGTTAAAATATTTTCAGCTTTACAGCAGCACAAAAATGGGAACATGCAAACTGGTTTGGTTTTTCATATTGAGGTTGTTTTGTTGTTTGGTTTGGTTTTGTTTTTAATTTTTTTTTAAAAAAGGGAAATTTTCACCACGACCCAGAAATTGTTTAATGCAAAAGAGTTTTAGCAAAATCAAACTGGCTCCAGCCCGAAAAGCTGCCTGCTCTCCTGCCTGTGCTGTCTAGCTCCACCCACTTAGTTTTTGACACTTACAGCCCTGCAGATGTGCCACAGTGGGTTATTGTAAAGGTTTTCAGGATTAATAGTATCCACTGAAATGTATGAGGCCTGAATTTGTATCTGCTATACTCCAGGGGCTGTGAGATTTGAGGTCTTAATTCCCAGTAGGTTGTGTTTCAGGCACAAAGGAGTTCATCCTCTTTCCAAGCCAAGCTGTGGATGGTGACAGAGCCCATGCACACCTGCCAGCTGCAAGGGTAATGCATGGTAAGGGTCTGTCACCTGGTCTCTGCCAGGGTTTCATCCACCAGTGCAGAGATGAGGCTGTGATGGATCCGTGGGACCTGACTGGTATGCTCTGGGATTTCCTCTTCATCCTCTTTTGGTCTTCCTGAGCCTCACTTTTTCTTGATGTAACTTCACAACAGCTTAGAAGCATTGAGTATAGGTCTTGCAAGCCTTCCGTACCTAGCAAGAAATCTGCATGGAGGATCAGATCCATTAGGTTTAGCCAACTGCTTCTTGGTTTATCCCAGTAAGGTAGGCACTTCAGATGATTTCCAGAGTGGACCCTGCAATCGTGCCTTAATTTTAACCTCAATGAAGTTTGGGCATGACATCTTGACCATCAGCACAGTTACTGCTTCACTAATCCCACTGCAGGGGGTGGAAAACACAAGCCCCACAGCTTTGACCATACTGGGAGAGAAACCTGTGCTTTGGAGAAAAATATTTTTAAAATTAACTTTGGAGGATATTGTTTATTGCATCATCAGAGCAAACCTTTAGGGCAGGCAAAGACAGTCCATTTGAGAGGGTAAAAGGAAAACCACTTTCCAGGTGTGCAAAGAAAATGAGAGGGAGATCAGTGGTTGCTGGCACAAGGTAGGAGACTATTCATTTATCCAAGTGACTGGTCAATGGTGAAGCTGCAGGCACTCAGTAGAGCCTGACAAGCCAGGTATATTCATGTCACAATGTGTAAGCTCCTCCCATTTTCCCTAGCCAACTGTTCCAGCTCTCAGTTCTAGGTCACCTCAGGGGCACATGAGAGCCAGTGTGTATTTGCCAGTCTTCAACTTATTCCAGATCTAAGCTCAGGCTTAATGCCAGTGTGCTGCTTGTGCAGCCAAAAGCCCAGAACAGAAATGGTTTTGACTCACCAGGTCATTTTTTCTTCTGGCTCACTTCCCTGCCATGCAAACACTGGGAGGATGTGACAAGGAATGGTGATCACATCTTTCTGCAGCTACCACCACAGAAGTGAGCAAGGTCACAACGTGGCAGCCTCTCTTGCTTCAAGCAGGAATCTCCCCAGATGAGTCTGAAACACCCCTGGACACAGCAAGAAAAAAACACGGGGCTTTGTGCTGCTGGAGCTGGGACACGCTTGAAGACCCAGTGCCTCTGATGCAGCTGCTTGCTGCCTGTGACAGGGCTCTCAGGTGCTGTCAAATCCTTTGGTTTCCAACAGGAGCTAAAGCCACAAGACAGCTCCAGGCATTGATGTGCCAGTGCAGCTCAGTCTGCATGGAAACACGTTCAGCTGCAGTTCAGCTTCCACCTCAGATGAGGCTGCTGTGTGCCACTCAGGTCTTCCAGGCATAAGCTTGTGCATATCATTCTGCCTGGTGCCTTGGGGCCTTCCAGCCCCTTTCACCTCGCTTGGAGGAAACCTCTGAATGTCTGTGCACACACCGAGCTCCTCAAAGCCATTCATCCCAGGACACCTGCCTATCACCAAGCCTCTGGCTCCCTCCATGTCTCTGGGCAACCACAAATTCACCTGCATGATGAAGGTGAACATGAAGTCAGGTTTGATGTGAGAGAGTCACCCAGCCAGAGCAGAAATCATGAAACCCTTCACAGAACCAAAGACAAAAGCCTTGGCTGGAAAAAAAGGATATGGTCAGACAACCTCAGGCACATACTTCCTGCTTGTAGCATGTCCATAAATCACAGCATAAACAATGTACTAAAGGTCAGCTATGGTTAAGTGTTATTCCAGTCTTTCTTAACAAGTTTTTGCACTGTTCTTTAGTGTCCTTTAGCCTTTTATCAGCATCTTCTGAGTTGACCAGACCCAGGTCGATGCCTGTCTTTAAAGCAACACCAATGTCCCAATATCATTCTCCCAATGTAGGAAGAAGCATGGGAAAAGATGGAGTTTATCAAACTTGCCTCCCCTAATGTCTGCAGTAGAGGACAAAACTTCAGCAAGGGTCACAGAAATGTTTCCCTGCTCAGCTGCTGGAGGTGAGGGAGCTGCTGCAGGATGCAGAAGGCACACGAGATGCATGGGCAGGGCATCAGTTGGGGATAGTCTGGTGGGAAAGCAGACTTACCCACCTTCTGAGTGCTACTGCAACTTCAAAAAAGAAAGCCCATTAGAGAAGCTTTGCTGAGTTGATCAAAAACTAAGGAAATTTGTATAGTGAGTTAAATTAAAGAGCAGAATGAAAAAAGCTGATTTACTTCGGGTCTAAAAATAGCTGTGAAGAGCCTTTGCCAAAGGAAGCAGAAGTTGCCAGCAACATATGTGAAAATGTCATTAATTTCTCTAATAATCTGCACTTGCTGCAAATGATATAATTTTTGTCTATTAGAGAGAGAACAAGTACAATCAAATACACACGAGCTCTATTTCACAGGCTTCCCAGGAGGGATGGCAAGAAGCCAGCCTGGAGCCAGTAATGCATGAGCAGGTGACATCTCATAGAACTCATACTGAATAGGGTTGTCAGGACCTGGGAGCCATTGCTGAGAAAACTGGGACCATGCTGGGGTCAGTGCTCCTCTCTAGACCATCTCCAAAGCCTGTCTCCTTTGCTCCTCTGGCTGGTCAGAGAGAATCAAGGGAGAAATCAGAGAGAAAATACCCTGAGATGCAACCACTGGATGAATCATACAGCAAATTGGCCATGGATACATGAGGACAAGATGTGCTTTTTAAATCTTTTTTTGTAGTTGCTGGTGCAGTTCTGCTGCAGGAGTAGCTTCCCCATTCCAAGGGAGCACTCATGATGGCCAGGCCAAATCTTGCTGATGTCAACTCTGTTTTTTTGGCAGCATCAGAACATCTTTGTGTTGATTGCAATACACTTCTACCCATCTGTGGAATGGTTTGTGCTACCAGAGCAATGTACAATGGCCCACAGAGTAAAATCAGGAGCTCTCTCCTATCATGCCCTGCTCTTGTCCCTTCTGCTTACACTCTGGGCCAGTGTAATGACACCCATCTCAGCTCTCCTGCACCACTCTGAAGCAGCGATCAACACATTACTTCCACTTTGCAAACTGGAAATGGGGTAGCAGGAGATGAAACAACCTGACACAGTCACACAGGGATATGTAAAATACACCCTGACTTCCAACACCAACCACATCTCATCCCTCTCCCCTCCTCTCCTTCCCAGCCTACAGATCTAGGCAAGAGCTGCAGACACATTGCCAATCTGAGTCTCCACTTCCTTACAATGTTGTCTACCATGAAAAATAATTTTCTATCTGTGGGATGAGTGGTAGCTCATCTGGATCCGCTGAATGTGAGAACCCCAGCCTTGCTTTGGGGCCTCATGTGGTGGTGAAATTCCTCCTCCAACCCGTGCTTCCAAAGAAAAACTCCGCAGGCTTAGCTGTTCGGTCTCAAGGCAGTTTATTGCTAGTTATCTAACAGATTATGTTCTTGGGCTGCAGCTATTTGATCAGTGGCCTGGGTAGAGGCACACACACACCCTGACATCCTCTCTATCTGCTGTCTTCTTCGTCTCTCTCTCCGCCCAGGGCTGCTGCTATCTTTTATAAGATATATTACGTATAACATGTTTACAATTATTCCCCAATACCTACTACCTACGTTGCCAAGTGTTTTTCTACTCTAAACCAATCTGTGAGTGCCAACATCACCAAGAACATGGAGGTAAGGAAGAAGAAGGAGGAAGAACAGGATCAGCCCACTTTCCTCCATCTTAGAACTTCTGACCCCCATGTACAAAGTGAAAACCCCCCTGTACATGTGTTAAAACCCCCCTGTACAATACTAAAAAAATTTCCCCTCTACTTTGTAACTACTTATACTATACTATCTAACCTTTTCTGATTGTTTGTTCCACCTCCAAAGTTGGCAATTCATTCCATGGCTCAAACTCAAAATCACAGCTGTTTTTCAGTTGTCTGCCAGGGTCTAGAATGCTTCTGACCAAGGCCTCGAACCTCTAAAAATGCCTGAGAGACATTTTGAGTTCCCACAGCTGAACATCAACAGACACCAGCATGGTGAGAAGATGGAAGCCTGCAGTAGCAGGGCACAGCAAGCATGTCCCTGACCAGACACTAAAGCCACCCAGGTCCTTCAGTGGGGCCAGAGAGCAGGCAACAGGAGGCAGAAAGAGGACAAACACCTTTTAGATGGATGCCAGAGCTTTTAACATATTTCCACACCTTCAGCAGTGCTAAAGGAACATTGTTCTATTTGCTCTGTGCATCCCCCCAGATGAGCTGGCTCTTGTTTATTGCATCTGCTTGTCTCCCATCTTTAAGACATCTGCCCTGAATTCATCCTCCCTTCCCCCCACCAAACTCAAAAACAGCCAGAAATATCTTGTAATCTCTTCTGCTTCACCTGTAATTTGTCTCATGCTGGCAATGAGGGAAACCGTCTGCCTTTGTCAAGATCAAAAACGCTACAGTGGCTATGTGATGTCAACTTTTGTTAACCCTGTCTCTCTCCCCTTTGCCTCCCCTCTCCAGATTGTTACAGAGAGGAAGATGTGTCTTCATTCTCCTGCAGCCTTCTTTCTCCCCTGGCACATCTCCTGCCATTTGGAAGTACCCTGGTTGAAAGGGCAGGGAGAGCAAGCACCACCAGGCAGCAGAATGGGTTCTGGACCCCCTTCCACACTAAGGTCAGCCAGACTCAGGGCTGAGACAAAGATCAGGAGATGCAGCAATGTGGGCCACAGGCCACTGAGGTACACTGGACCTCTGAGGTTTTACATAACTGCATGTCATCTTCCTGCTCTGACCTCAGAATGAGAAGAACTCAGCCCATCTCTGTTACTGCAGTGCTTCTGCCCATGCCCCTTCCTGCCTGTACCATGGGCAGGAGAGCACTGGGCTCTCAGATTAGGGGTAGAGGGGAAAGGCACCCAGGAAGGGGCAGGATGGAGGTCGAGCCTGCTGGAGCTACCACAAAACCTCACACAGAATATTTCAGTGTGCAAAGCCAGTTGCTACTGCCACACAGTTAGGGAAATTCCCTACATAATCAAGCAGTCTTCGTAGTATAAAAGTGTATTAACTATGTTAACATTTTTCTCTCATACTTGGTACTGGTGAGGTCACAGCTCAAATCCTGTATTCAGTTTTGGGGCCCTCACTACAAGAAAGACATTGGGTGCTGGAGCATGTCCATAGAAGGGCAGAGAAGGAGCTGATGAAGTGTCCAGAGTACAAGTGTTATGAGCTGGGGTGGTTTACCCAGAAAAACGAGGCTCAGGGGAGGCCTTATCACTCTTTACAGCTCCCTGAAGGGAGGCTGTGGGGGTTGGTCTCTATTCCCAAGTAATGGGCAATAGGATAAGAGGAAAAAGCTTCAAGTTGCTCCAAGGGTGGTTTCCACCAGATATTAGGAAACATTGCTGCAGTGAAAGGGTGGTCAGGAAATGGAACAGGCTGGCCAAGCCTATGTTGGAGTTACCATCCCTGGAGTGTTTGAAAAGGTGTGGCACATGGGGACATCACTGTTTTGAACATGGCAGTGTTGGGTTAATGGTTGGACTTGATCTTAGAAATCTTCTCAATCTAACGATTCTATGATTCCCTGTATTAGTTCACATTATAAATTGCAATGTAAGGAGGCAGTGGAATTTTACTGAAGCCTTTGCTGTTGTTGTCTTAAGTAAGCAAACGGGCAACAGCTCATGACAAGGGCCAGGGAGCAGCACAGCCCTGGAATAAAGGGCTCTGCTTCTCAGAAGCTAAAGGCTGTTCATGATCCCCCTGCACAGCCAAGGCAAGGGCAGTATCCTCCCCTCAGCATCCCTCCAGTATTGCCTGTGGGTGCCTCAGGCCGAACGCATCCCTGGGATATCTGGATGCCCCAGGAATGGTGCTGCTTTGCAGGGTTTTATGGTGACTGGCTGTCCTTGGTGATCCGTCACACAGCGCAGTGCCCCGGCGCTCAGAGGGGCCCCATGCTGTACCCCGGCATCACTGCAGTGCACAACTTCCTCGTGAGGGAAAGCGCAGGGACAGGCAACCAGCAAGGAGACTCAGGACAATGGCCTGAAGCAGTCAGGGGAAATTTAGGTTGGCAATTAGAAAAAGTTTCTCCACCCAGACGATGCTCAGTCACAGCAACAGGCTCCCCAGGGAAGTGGCTACAGCTCCAAGCCTGACAGGGTTCAGAAGCGTTTGGAGGACGCTGTCAGGCACACGGTGTGACCCCCGGGGCCCGCGGTGTGACTCCCGCGCCGGGCCAGGAGCGGACGCGGCGACCCCCGCGTCCCGCCCAGCCGGGAGAGCCGGTGAGGGGCTCGCCGCCAGCCCCGCAGCGCCCCCTGCCGCCCACCGGCAACCTCGCCCGCCCCGCCCCGCCCCGCCCCGCCCCGCCGCCCGGCGTCGGCGCGGGGCGGAACGCGACCGCCGTTCGAATTCCGGCGGGCGGCGGGCATGGCGGTGCTGCGGCCCTTCGACAAACTCCCGACGCTCAACTCCGGCACCCTCCTGGTAGGTCCGGCGGTGGCGCCCGCCGTCCCTTCCCCGCCGTCCCTTCCCCGTCCCTTTGCCCGGCGCGGCAATGCCAATGCGCGGGCCGTGGCTGACCGCGCTCTCGCCTCTGGCGCAGCTCGTGGGCCCGGACGAGGCGCTGCGGCAGCAGCTGGCGGAGACCATCCTGCAGGAGAAGAGGGACTTCAACATCAGCATGTGAGTGATGGGCAGCGCCTGCGGGCCCGGGGCCCCTGCCACCTGCTCCAGGAGGCGCAAACGGCGTCTGTGACGGCAATTCCTGTCGCACCGAAACTGGTTAAAAGCGCAGGCTCCGCCCCCGTGGCAGGAGTCGGAGCTGTAGAGCGCGCGGTTCGGAGAGAGACTTCGCTCTTGCGAACGCTAGAGAGCACCGCTGCCCAGATGTGACCGCATCTGCAGCGGGCAAACCCCTCTGTCCTCAGGGCAGGCAGTTTGGGCATGCTTGGAAACGGGAAGGGGGGGAAGCATCCCACGTTCGTGTTCACAGTGCACATACCTTTGCCTTTTGCATGTTGCAGAGGTGTTTGATTACTAAATTGGAAAGGTGTGAGAGCAACACGGGTTTTTTTTTCCCCGCCTGAGAGATAGAAATTAAACATCCTGGGGCAAAATGGGACAGGTACAATGCTTGCAAGTACTTGCAGAGGAACAAGTGTTTCTGAAAGATGTCCATTGCTTTGGATGCTCTTTGTAGCTGTTTTCTGGTTTGTATGCACACATGTGCTTTTCCTCCTCAAGATGCACTTAGGATTTCAGCTTTAGCCACATGACATGTCCTGTCTTAAAAGCTTGATTAACCAACCTTTTACAATAAAATGTCCTTGACAGCTCTTTTGCCAAGACCAAATGAGTTTAGTCAGCTCTTCAGAAGGTGTTTGTGTTATTTCTCTGCTGTAATCCATGGATGTGCAGTAAAAGCAGCCCAAGCTAATGTTCTGCTGGCTAATTAGAGTGACTGTAGTGCTCTGATTGTGGCATCTTGGATGTCTGTGCTAACTAATAGTAAATGAATTACCCCATTTTCTATGTGAAACCTGCAGCCTCTGCTGAGCTGTGGAGTGCCATAGCTAGATGGCTGCTGGTACTACAGCTGGGTAACTGCCCAAAGGCACAGAACTGTGTGCTCATGCTACACAGTAAGATACATCCCTGTGTAAATATTGCTAGGAAAGCAAAGCCAGTGGGGTTCTTTCCCCCACTGTGTTACTTTGGGATTGTACACACTACAAACAAATATGATATCTAACCTGACAGGTCTACCTGTCAGGTACAGCTGTTGGGTGAAGAGTTACAGGGCTTGGGTTTTTTGTATCTCTTATTGCTGGGGAGGAGAGGGGGGAAGGCTTCTGCATTGCATATCTGGAGACTGCTGTCATCATCTAGTCATGTTGGTTTAAACATAACAGAATTCCAAACAATGCAGTGCTTTTCTGGGTCGCTTTTTTCTTTCCCCCAAGGTGATCTGATAATTTCATCAAAGAGTCTCCCTAAATTTCACCTTAAATTAATAAGTTGGTTTGTGTTTCAATTAATAAAGCAGTTTGTCTTTCAAGCTCACTTTGCTCATCTCTTGTGTTAGTTTCAGAATGTTTTTGTTAAATCATGTCTTCCATAAACAGAAGAAACAAAATACTTTTATTTGGAGACTAGCAAACAAAACTACAAACTAAATAGGATTAATAGAAGGCAATGTGTGCCGTGGTCTGTGGCTGCTACAGAAAACTGTGAAGTCCTTGAGACTGAAATACTAGAAGTAATATTCCCCCAAGAAGACCAGAATCAATGTTTCTTCCTTGGCTTCCAGAGAGGAACTGGATTGTGAGAGCGACTGAACGTCTGGGATGTTTGTTTGCCCAGTTTAAATTAAGGTGATCTTCCAAAAACGTGGTGCTGATAATGTTCTTCCCTGTGGAAGATCCAGTTATGTACTGCTGAAACCTTTTATGGTTGAGTTTTTTTGTTGGTATGCTGGTTTGGTTTTTGTTGTTGTTAGTTGTTTGTGGCTGTTTGGCTTTTTTAGTGGGCAGAGATGCAAAAATCCCCACCCTGTATTTCTTCCAACAGCTGTAATTAGCAGTGTTAGTACCATGTTGAAGGATACCTAAACTAACCTAGTAGCTTCTGACAAAGTAAAAGGATTAAAAGGGAGGGTAATGATATAATAGAAGCTCTTTTTGAGTTATAACTTCATCTATAAAGCTGTTGTAGTGACAATTTTGTAGTTTAAGGTTTTTCTGTACCTGGCAAGGTCACCTCTCTTTTGTGAGCATATGAGCAGTATCTCTGGAATGTGACAGAAAAGCACTGATGCATTGATTAAACTTTACAGCAAAATATTCCAGTAAAGAATTGGAGTTCGCTTTGTTAGAAAGGACTCTTTGTAACAATTAAATGAAATGACTTGCTGTAGAGATCTGCACAGAGAAAATGTTTCTGTGAGACTTGTTATGCTCTAATAAGCGTCGCATTATAACCAGCCTTGTCTAGCAATTACCATTGTGCCTGTCAGCAACTATGAGTGGGCCTAAGATATGAGAGTACCACTTAAACAATCACAGTGCTTCTTCAATGCCCACGTATTTAGTAATTAGCAGGCTTCCTGGTAACTTGCTACAGGGTGAACTGCAGTGGTTGTGTGATTATGGGTAAGTGGATACTGTCTTGCCAAGCTAGTTGGTTAAACTGGCAAATTTGTTATCTTTCAGTCACCTTGCTACATCCCTCCCCTTACCTTCAGAGAGGGATCATCTTCGACCCAGGATAGATCTGATTGTGTTTATGATTGACATCAAGAGCAAGTACAGGTAAGAGAAGGGAAAAAAGATGAGAGGGGGGACGAATATTATTTCTTGTTTTGATGGCTAAATCTGCATTTTTACTATATTGGAATTGCTGAATAGTGGGTTTCAAAACCAAGACTTGCTGTGGTGGAAGAACTCAGTAATATATACAGTGGCTTTCTGGCCTCCAGCAGTGGATTAGGACTGAATTGCTCTGTCCAATAACATGCCTGTTGTGCACTAAGTTGCCATAGCAGAGAAGGCAGAATTTATTTCTGGATCTGGATGTGTGACAATACCAACTGAGCTTTGGAAAGAGGCTGTCTATAGAATTAGATGGAAGTGCTGGTAGTGCTGTGAAGTTTTATAACATGCAGAAGTCTGATGTGTGCTGGGCAGGGCAGTGCTGCCCAATAACCAGCAAGTGGCTGTGTCTGTCCTCAGTTTGCTGATAATCCTGGTCAAACACTATGGATCAGCACTACAGATATCTCTAGGCGAAAGAGAAAGGTCTGCAGGGATTGATCCCTTTTCTATCATCTTGTGCTCTGTATCTTTGTAGAAATGATACTTGTTTCCCCAGGCCACAAGTAAAGACTTGCTAAGGCACAGAAGTCAGCATTTTATTGCTTACTTAACTTGTGACTGATGATCCTGGGCTCTCATTTACCAAAAATGACAGGCCCAGCTGCATACTTACAGCACAGATGGTGCTGCAGAAATGTGTGGGCAAGCGCTTCCTGAAAGAGCCGAAGTGGTGCTGAAGTTTCATTGGATATTAATGAATTCAGATGCTTAGTGTCTGTAAATCATGGAGGACACTGTTCAAACTAACTCTAACTGTTGAGTCTTGAGTAGAAAGGATATGTTATGGGTTATTAAACAGCTGTGGGTATTACAGAGGTCTCTGATGTCATGCTTTTAGCATAAAGCAGAACTTTGCAAGCTCACAAATCAGCAGATGTTAACATCATTGTTTCTCTAATTGTGCTTCTGAAAATTATTCCTGTTTTCCTTATGCTGCACTGGTTTAACCTCCCTGTCCAACTGAATTGTCTGTGCTTTTCTGACAGCTTGAAGAAGGTCGAATGTTCCCTAGCTCATGTGGATGCCAGCTTCTTCCTGGGGAAGGTGTGCTTTCTTGTCACTGGGGGTACGTATGGCACCTCTTCCTCCTCTTCAAGCAGCACAACTCACTGTTGGTTTTCTTAAAGGCACTGACTTAACTTGAAACAAACTAAAGGAAACCAGTGGCTTTGTTGCAACTTTGTTTAAATTATTTCTGAACTCCTCTGCCTTTTTTATTGTTTTCCTAGATAAAACACTGTTCTCTCATGATCACTTGCTCTCTCCTTTTTATTTTTGCCAGTCAGACCTCTCTTCTCTGTCCCTAATTCCTGAATATGATCTGTGTTATTGATTTTTTTTGTGTGTGTGGCACTCCACTGGTCTATCTGCTCTTGCAGATCTGACTTAATGATACCTTAATGAGCAGTGAGAAGCATATGATACTGTGGTAATAAAGTGAATCTAAACGGATGAGCTACAAAGCTATCAAGTATAGTTTTAATATAAGACTACTATCCCTGCTGTGTACTGTCTGGCCATGTTGTGCCTCTAATCTTTCTGTCTCCCAATGCTTCCCTGTGTACCCTCCCTGCTTCAGCTCTGAGGAACTGGAGGGGCCAGACTGTACTGCTCAGTGTTGGAATATACGTGCTGTGTCCCTGGAGTTTGGGGGTCAGGAGGCTTAATTCTGAAATAGAGGAGTCTTAGCATTGTCTGGTGTTATGGCTCTCTTGATGAAGTGAATTCCTTGGAGATCAGAAAACTCTGTGATACCATATGACTCAGGAGAACTTTTGGTGAGTGGAAGCTGATGGTGTGCTGATCCCTTATGCAGAATGTTAATGTTACATGAAGAGTGATGTACTATTCCTGCTGTTAGTATTATGAAAGACTTCTGTGCTAATTCTGTTTCCAAAATTGTACCATTTTGTTTGCACTACTCGCTGTTGCCTTACCTTCTATTATGCTCTAAAAATTAGCTCTGGATTGTTCTGTGGATGTGGAATTTCCTAAAACTTTTCTTCACTGATTGCTGATTATGAGGCTTGTAATGTGGGAAAATGTTTTTTTTTTTTAGTTGGCAAGGTGAATGCTTGCAGCATTGAGATGAATGCTGTCTGTAAATTAGGAGAAGCCTACTGCAGTCCTATGCTATTCTGTGAGCTGGAGGTAAGGTGCTTATTTGACATCTCAAGGGATTTCTGAAGAATTCCACTGCTCTGTGATTGTTAGAAACATCATTATTTTAGCAATAAATACATGTCCTGCTGGCCTTCTTAAGTGTCAGAGACCAGACTTTGTCTACAAGAACAGTACCTCTACAGAGGTACAGGAGTCTGGCTGTCCTTGAAATGAGTCTTGAAGCAATCTGGTCCTTCCTGTGCTACTTCAAAACCTCATGAAGCCGAGCCTAAGCTAACAAAAACCATTTCTGATATGCAGAGCCTTGGTACACTTGTTCCTTGCTGCATTTTCTCTTCCTGGGAGCCCCTGAGTATAATTTACTATGTAACTCCCTTGCCCATGTAATGTTTTGTGTCAGCCAAACTTTGTGGCTTCACTGATGATTTTGCCATCTGATAAGCCACTCTTTCCAATTACCTGCTTGGTCTGAAAAGCTGGAGGGAGAGTTTGCTATTCAGCAGCAGGACACTTCACTTTTCTGTGTAACTTGTCACTGCATGCTCAGAGACTGCTTCCCTACCAGCAGGTAGAATCTGTGCCTTTGGCAAGCCCTTCAGCACTTCCAGCTGGCAACGCTGTACCTTCCTTAACATTAGGGAAGTAAATGGGCCTGCCTGGGGTTTTCTATAGCTAGGCACTTGATGCCTGCTCTGGTTCTTTCTTTTAGCAAAGTTTACCGTTGCTTTTCTTCTTTTCTATTGATTAAATAATTTCTCTATTCTGTTTCCAGCTGGAAGACACTCGAGTTGCTACTGCTCAACGACTTGTTCGAATGTTAAGAATCTGTGCTGGTCACATACCGGGAGTTTCTGCCTTGTCCTTTGTCTCGCTGATGAGGAAGTCTGATGATAATTAGCTTCTCATTGTGATACTTCACACACATTCATCAGGTTTTTTTTCACATCAGGCATTCAAGCTGCTGCAGTTGAAATCACATTGGGAAGATTTTTTTGAGTGACTTGTCATGACCATTCACCCAGAACTGTTCCTAGTTGCTTACCTCTCAATAAAAGTTTGATTCCTATTCAGTGGATAACAGATAGGGAGGGCAGTTTGAATAGGAGATTCCAATCCATTATTACATCTGAATCCCATTTCATGATAAAGATTGAATTTTTTCCTCTTGGCCGGTGGCCAGGAGCTACATGTTTTTCTGAGAGAATATTAGAAGAACAGGCTACTGTCTCCAAAGTACCAGAGAAGAGGCAGCAGGCTCCTTCCTTCAGTTGAAATGCAGCACCTTAGTCTAATGAGAAACCTTGCTGCCAGGTTTGTCTGTCCACCAAGAGAAGAATGGGGAAGGAAGGCTGCCTAGATCTTCTAGATAGATTGCACCTGGCAGTTAATGATCCAGCTGTGTTAGCATCTGCCCAGCAAAGGGCTCACTATTTCCATGTCAGTTACCTAATTGGGAAGGAAGGGACCAAAGAAGATAATTGAACTAGCACTTTAGCTTTCTTTTAGATCCTTGAAGAAAAAGACTCCATCTGTCAAAGCCCACAGACAGCCCCAGTAGTGCAGCCTCTGGGGCTGACCAGAGGTGAAACCCAGTAGCCAGGACCACAGCAGCACACAGAAAACAGGTTGTCTCAGCTGGTTTGGCATGTGCTGTGTATAATCCCTTTACTAACAGGTTCTGACCAGCTGTAAGTTGTGCCTTATGCATACTGCACAAGTCTCTAAGGTTTGAGAGTTATAATTTAATAAAATAAGTAATATGTAATAGTTCTATGCTCTTTGTTAGTCATGTGGCACAGCCTCTAAAACCTGCAGACGCTTGCCCCAGTTTGCCCTGGCAGGCTGGTCCTTGCTGACAGCTCTAACTCCCAGTTAGTTGTTTTGCTGCACTCGTGGCTTCAACCATGTGGTGGTGGCAAAAGCTTTTCAAATACAGCCCTTTCTGTTCATTAAGTTGAGCCACCTGCCAGAATACAGTGCTTTTTGAAATACTGGGATGTTTCTTACCCAGAATTACATGCCAAGTAGAAATGAAGCCTAGAGAGAATGTGTTAAGCTCCCCTCTGGTTTAATTTATTTAATCCCTAATAGTCTGCTTTAATGTTCCTAGGTGCAGAGCTCTAGCTGTGTGCACTCTTTCGGTTAGCTTGTTTCTGACATCTGTCTGTGAGCAGGAAAAGCAGAAAGCAGCACTGCAGGCTTAATCAGCTGTGAGTGTTGGCAGTCCTTGCAAAGACAGCTCAGCAAGGCACAAAGCCTGTATCCTTGCTCAGAGGACACACAAATCCCAGCTCCAGTTGTATTGTTGCTGATGGGGGAGGGCTAGGGTGTTTGTCAGCTGAAACAAAAGGAGCTAAACCATCCAGCTGTGTTATGATGCCCAAAAGGGCTGGACTCTGGCTAAAACCCAAAGGAGAAAGACATGTGCAAACTGTCGTGGCTGTGTAAGGAGGATTGAAGCTTAATGGGCATGCCCTACTTTCAGCTAGCTTTGCCATCCTGAAGGTACTAACCAGGACTGGGCCACCAGAGAGGGGAAAATCATGCTGAGAAACAAGTTTCTGTGTTGGTTATGCTGTCTCAGCCCTGCTCTTGCTTTGAGTCCCTCAAAATAAAGGAGACCATGGCTTAGAATAGGCTGGTTTCGATTTGCTCTCGATGTGCAGGTGCAGTCTGTGGGAGGAAAGGAAGTGGCATAAAATGAGCCACTCTTTTGTGTCCTCTGCAACTCCTATAAGGAAAGGAGACTTTTCCTCTCCTAGGTTGCTCTCCAGTTCACTGTAATAACCCACAGACTTGGGTTAAATCCCTTTGGCCTCAAGAGTAATTTCACTGCGCTTTTTTAACTAGTGAAAATGAAACTTCTTTTTGGTCCACCCAGAATGCGTTGGAGTAACCCACATGTGCTACTGTCCACTCCTGCACCTTCAAGCAGGGTTTTTTTTTCCACTGTTATGTTTCAGATGTGGTCTTTCTTTCCTTCTACTGCTTTCAAAGAAGAAAGATGCTGTTTTTACTTCCTACAGGTGGCTGAATCTCAGCTGGTACATAACAAAATCTAGTTCCTTAAGAGCAGCATCTTCCTTCACCTTGGGGCAAATATTTTTCTTACTCTTAGGAGAAAGTATTTACTAGAACTGGCAGGGGAAGCGGAGCGTATCTAAGAATATGACACTGTGTCTCAGGTCCATCATGTTTTACAACCCAAAGTAGTTGGGACACATCTAAAGCTACATCTTCAACTATGTAAATACCTTTAGGAGCTGTCAGCTATTAGTTGAGACAGGCCATAACACTGCCCTTACTACCAGAGGAGACAAGGCAGCTGAGGATATCTTTCATCTGGATGGAATAGCCAGGGCTAATGTTTGATAAAGGTCTTGTGAAAGTAGCACTTAGATTTGGATCAGAGGCATAGAAGGCCTGAAGTTGAATTAAGGCTAATTACTCAGGTTCTGTTGTGTTCAAACCTTGTTAAAGAGCTTGCCAAGCTGACTGAAATCTAAACTAACAGAAACATTTTGAAGTTACTTGCTTTCTCTTCTCTCTAGATTCAGTTCTCTATCCCTGTGGAGATTTTCAAAGAGGAATCCCCCTCTCTGAGGTGAAAGTACCTGTGAGCATTGCTGGTTTGACTGTTTTAGTCTGTGGATGTGTTTCTGTTTGTCATTTATGTCAGCAAAATTAGAATAAAAGCAGTTTAATTAGTATAGAAGAACTCATACTAGTTGCACTGGTGTAAGCTTTGGTCTCAGAGTGCTTTTTTGGGGCGATGGAACTAAATGAGATTGTAATATGGTTTCCTCTGCTATGGCAGGCTGACCCACTGGATTTCATTTTCAGTCCAGTCCCTTGAAGAAGATTTTGCCTCCGCAGCCTGCTAGCTGAACAGCTCACAGAGGTGATCTGTGAGAGATTTCAGCACAAATCAGCTTGCTTGGCATTACCTGGTGGGATTACAGCTCTCTGCTGTGCCAGGTTTTCTAAGACTAACTCTGCTGCACCAGCAGTTAAATCAGACCAACTTTGAAGCATGATAAAACATGATATGTTCAATCTATACCAATGGAAGAGAAAGTCTGCATACTGAAATGGCACCTGTAGTAAAAGATCTCTCTGTTCCTGGAATAAAGATCAGAAATAAATCCAACCCTGGGTATGTATCAGTCACTTCCAAACCTTGAAACTGGTGGTGGAGTTTTAGATTCATGGCCACCTCTGGTATTGGCTGTGGGGACTGGTTAAAACTGGGCATCTTTGCTTGCCAAGACCTGTAGTTTGAAGAGAGTGGCTGGCTTAGGTCAGCAGTGGTGCCTAGCAGCTGTGGTCAAGCTGCAAGAGCTCCTTGGTTGCTCTCATCACGGCCACTGTTCACAGCAGTGGTGGACAAGGAGAGACTCCTGCTCTGCTGCCTGGAGCTGACTGCCAGAGCTGTGGCAGAGGTCAGCTCTGCTCTGCTGCCAAAAGCAAGGAAGAGGCTTTCTCCTGTGGGGTTTTTAACTTGTCTTGATTTTGCAGGAGCACTGGCTGTTTTCCAGCTGCTCTGTTTCCATTCAGCTGGCCTGGATCCCCTGGCAGTCTCCTCTGCATTCTGAGTGTTCTCCACTCCCCACCCTAAGCCCGTGTGCAGTGTTGCTGTGGGCTGCTGAACCACTGCCACTTTCCATTCAGTGGCCAGCTGTCCTGGAGAAAAGTGATTTATATGCAAGAGAAGGCAATAGCTGGTACAGCCCAGAGGCAGGAGCCAAAACCACTGGATTAATTTCACTTCTGTGGCTGATTTCTTGCGTGACCCTGGGCATGCGAGTGAAAATTCACTGTGCCTTGCTTGCTTTGCTTCCCTGCCTCCACTGGGGGTTTTTAACGAGGGCAAATTGACATTACTTTGGAGTCGCAAATCTGGAATTGAGTGGAAACATTCCGAAAAAACAATTCTTTTCCTCTTTAGCAGAGTCTGACTTTTACCTAAGTTCAGTGGGGGAGGGCTAGGTGGGACCTGCTGAGCGGGCACCTCCTGAGATCAGCTGGTTGTGTGCCGCTTACATGCCTGACTCCACTGCAGGGAGGCTGCCTGAAACTGGCTGCGATCCTTCTCATGAGGCATTGCGGCATGGTTAGGTTTTGGTGTGAACTGGAACGAAACCACCCTCTGAAATGCTGAAATTCCCTGCACAGTTCAATTATCCTTGAATTGGCCAGCGGGGAAATCAAAGTCTCTGGATCTGTTCCTCGCTGTTAAATATTAATACGGCACGGCGATAGCAGGCAGGAAAGCATCCCCTCGGGTCAGCTCTGTGCGGGAGGGGCTGTGTTGGCTGTGAAGAACCGGTGTGCAGGAGAGGTCGGGCACGGGGGACTCTGGAGTGACGTGACTTGCTCAGACTCCTTGGCAGCTGAGCAGCGTGGGCTCCCAGCCCGTGCTGGGCCACGTTTCCTTTGCCACAGGCTCCTCCTGCCACGTGCCGCGATGTCGCATCCCTCGTTCCCCGGAGCTTGCCGTGTGCTGGGGGTTTTGAGAGGAGCCAGGAAAGGCACCGTGCCCGTGTGCCCGCCCCGCCGCCTCCTGTGCCGAGGGAAGTCAGCGGTGTGTGCAAGGGGGCCCATGCTTTACATACGTGCAGGCAGCTCCGCGCCGCCGGCCCAGGTGCAGCTGCGGGCTGGGTACGACAGCCCCGTGGGCTCTGTGTGTCGCGGGAAGGAGCACCGAGGTGGGGCAAGGACAAAAATAACGAGAGAGAACACCTCCCCTTGGGAAAGGTGGCCCTGGTGTGCAGGGTCCGCTCTAGCCTCTGCATCCCAGCACCCTCTTGGCACTACAAGCTGTGCCGGGGCCAGCTGAAGCACTTGTGCTCAGGCATGCTGGAAAAAACTAAAAAGCCCAGCCAGCATTACACAAGCTAAGGAGGCTTTTCCCATTTTCTGTCAGTATGGAGTATTGCTTTTCTGTCTTCCCATGAAAGCTCTCTGGTCCTGCTATGTGCTCACCGTGCAGTGACAAGGTGACAGTGCCGTGCTGTGACTGAGCCTGCTTTGCTCCTGCCCTGTGCTCAGACTGTTGGAACACCTTGGATGTTTGTTGAGGGCTGGCAGTCCTTGAGGCACTATCATTGTCTGCACTGGTCAGCTCAAAGCTCTTCTGAACCTCTGTGCTGGCCACTCTGCTAGTTTTGACAGCATTGCCCCATTGTGGATATTCAATTTTTCTCCCCACTGCTGTTTCTTTTTCTTGCTCTTCCAGAGATCACAGACGTGAAGCCAGGGCTGCATTTGCCTCAGCTCAGTAAAAACCTATGGCTCATGTGGTGGTGGAGTATCTTTAAAGACAGGTGCTAGAATCAACTAATTAATCCTCATTCCCCTGTGGGACTGAGGGGTGACTCAGTGCCTCATACTGTTATGCTGAACAGCAGAGGATCAAAGGCACTGGAGCTGGGGAAGCCCTGGGATAGCACACCAGGCATCTGTCAAGGCTCAGTCTTGCACACTTTTCTCCAGGACTTTTTTAGCCATGCAGGAGATTGAAAGCTTTGCAACCTTAGAGACAAGGCTGGAGCTGCCGTCGCCTTGCACCGGAGGGGTAGTTTTTACCCCTTTGAGGTTGCCTTTTTACCTTTTCATTACAACCCAACTTGGCCACCCTGAGCAATTCCCCCTCCTGACCTACAGGTCCTTCACTGCACCCACTGTGTATGTGTCTGGGTGAAAGGCAGGGCAGGGAGGCTTAGGCACTGCTGAAATTGAGCTGCGATGGTGATGCACGTCCCTCCTGGGCGTTGTGATCCCCAGCACGCTGCATGTGCCAGCATGGCTTGGCAGCCCTGAAGAAGTGCAAACAAACCCCTACACCTGGCCTTGGGCTGCCCTGGCATCCATCATGCGGCTGTGTGAGCTGCTCACAGGGAAGGGAAGGGGAGTTGCTTGCACGTAGATGTTGTGTAATGCAGACCTAGTTCAAACACAAGTTTGCAGGTTGGGAAGCATTTGCCCAATCTATGGGGAAGGAAGACCACCTGGGACAAGGACTGCTGCAGTGCATTTCTGCTCTGTGTTGTAAAGGAGATGAAACATGAAGCATGTGCTTTCTTCAAAACCTGGGTTTTACCCAGGTTGCATGTGGAGCATCACCTGTGAGAGTCCCCCTGAGTGTGCATGAGCTGTGGTTTGGCTGAGCTCAGCCACTGTATGGGACTAATACATAGTGATGGTGTCCTATAAATTATATAGTCGGAATGTTCACCATCTGCTCTGCACTGAAAGCTGAGCATGATTGAGATCTTCCCCACTTCCCAAAGCTTGACTCTCTTGCTGAGCTTGAAATGTGTTTGTATATTTCCTGTAAGTGGTTCTGATTGAATCAGGTAAAAAGGGAATTTTTTAAGCAGGCTGCAATGTTCCCTGCACCCAAAATGAGAGCTGAAACAGCGGCCGGCATCCCATTATAAGGCTATGAGTAAAACTGAGTCTGATTTCATGTTAATTAGGTTCTAAAGGGACTGAATCTTGATTGCAGTGGTCATATCAAAGATTTAAAATAGTAATGCAAAAAGCAAAGGAAACCCCACGGTGATTCATATAAGAAGGGGAAATAAAGACAGTCAGGGAGGAAGAAGGACTTTGAGGGGGCCTGAATTGCTCTGCTGCCCAAAAGCAGGAGGGGATTTGAATCAGATTATCCTCATTAGATGTCTCTTTAAAGCATCATCAAGCCAGATGAATGGTCTGGGGGAGAGCTTGCAGGCATGGTGGCTGTGATTATCACCAGGGATTTGCAGTCCTAGTTATCTAGCTTAGAGACAAGATTATTAGGGGGTATAAAGCTGTTCCTGCCCTCAGCCTCTAATGTGCATTTTTAGGCTGGGTGATGGGAAACGCTGTGGTGCTGCACAGCCCCTCGGAAGCCTGCCTGCATCCTCTGGTGGTCTAGCCCTCTGCAGGGCTGTGAGTGCAGTGTGGAAGGGAAAGCGACCTGTGTGGCTAGGAGATCTTCCAGGGGGATGGACAGGCAGCCTTCCCTGGGGACTGTGGCAAAGGGCAACACCTCCCGTATAGGTGCTCACACTGTGATAGGAAATGGGAAGGGGATCTTGGGAGGCAGGATTATTTACCCACCTGCCTTCGCAGAACCGTTCGCTACCCACAGCATGTCCCTTCTTGTGACAGCCTGTGCCAAAGCAACTCATCCTTCCTGCAGCTGGAGCCTTCGAATCCCCAAAAGCTCAGAAGCTGGTGTGGCTGTTACAGAGGGAATGCCTGCGAGCTATGAGGAGGGCTCTCCCCTTGAAAGGGAATCAATGGACATTGCCACAGGTTCCTTGGAGTTCACCCTCAGGGGTGGTAAATACAGCACAGGGCTGCTGGCAGTCACTCTCCACCTCCTCAGCCCTGCAGCTGCATCAGATTTTCATCCTCCCCTTTATCTCCTTCCCTACTCTGTGTGTTGCACTCCTGTCTCTTCTCTGGACTCTGGCAGGATGGCCAAGACATTGTGCCCAGATACCAGCCAGGAGAGGAGGTGCACAGGCCAAATCCACCTGTCAGTTCTCTTGTAAAATTGCATCCTTAATACACTCATGGAAAATCATAACATTACTCTGCGCTCACACCTATGCAAGTAAAATCACTCTGGCTTTTTACAGCAGGCTGAACCTAAAGGTCTGCGGGAAGCTGGAGGATATTGTAGACAAAGTGGGGCAAGTGTGGCTTTGATTTTTGGGTCTGGGGTCATCTCCTGGAGATTCATGCCTTGAGAGTGCAGTGGTGGGGCTTCTCACTGTGAGTACGGGGGAGATTTCTGCCCTAGCATCAAGGATGCATGATCTGGCTGAACTCACCTGTTCTGAGGTTTTTCCTGTGGCAGCACATCACCCTCAGCCACTGGTTTCTGTTTTGGTGCTGGACGTGCTGCCTGGCCTGTCACGGCACGTGAACACTCCCTATGAACAGCCACAGGCAAAACTGGGGGGGCACTTCCCCTTCCTCCCAGTTGCCCAAGGGAGACAGGACAAGATGCCACTTCTCCTCAGGGTGGGGGTGGGGGCAGCATCCCTGCTGCAAGGCTGTGTGGGCAGGGTGTTTGAATACTGTTTGTTCACATTCAGGCAGAAGAGCCAGGCTCAGTTAACACTGTGTTGCTCATGATGTGGGGGGGGC